TTGTAAACTACCCCGTATACGAGGTAATAAAGACGACCCCACTTCCCGCCCACGAGCGAGACAATTTATTCACATTCGTAAAAACGTCCGGAGATTTAATGGCGATAGATAGGGAAAATCACAATTACTTAATAATCAAAGAGCGAGAACTAGAGACCTGCACGCGAACAGCAGAAAATTATGTATGCAATCAAGCATTCCCGATATACCACGTAAGCGGAGACGCACCATGCGAGGTGCAAACCTATGTACAGGCCCCGGGCCACCTAAGCGCGTGCGAAAAACGACACCTTACAAGCAACCGAACCATTTGGATAGCGGTAGAAGAAAAACACACTTGGCTATACTCCACGCGAGGAGAGCAACGAATTAGCGTCCAATGTAACGGACAACCAGAAAGCGAAATCGCTATAAAGAATACAGGCAAAGTCACTCTACAAGACAAATGTAAATTAACCACGCCCGACGTGACCATGAAAACGAAAACACGAATAGGAAATAAAGTAGTACAGACACACCTACCGGGATATAATTTAACGAAAAATACGGTCAACCCCCTGGCCGAAGGAAATCAGCTAAACTTACAAAGTAACCTAAAGTTAAAACCCGTAATAACGAACCCGAAGGAATTAATAGAACTAAGCCTAAGCACACGGGAACTCGAAAAAGAATTGGAAAACGGAACAAGCGAACACATATTTGTGAACAGATACGTCGCGTACTCGCTCAGCGCGGGCATGGCAATAATTATAGTTAGCCTAATAGGCATAAGCGCATGGATAATATACCGTAAAACGAAAAAACAACCGAATACACCAAACTATGTTAACCGCGAACCCGCGATGATGTACTAAGCATAAAGTGTAAAGAAATATTGTAAGGAACAAGGAAAAGGGAGAGGGTAAACCCATGAGCGGAAAACTTCATCCCTCAGTTTTCCTTCTTCCAAAGGGGGAGGGATGTTGTGCCCCGATTGCCGAAAGAGGTAACGAGGGCACTCAAGCAGTATTACTGCAATTAGAATAACACTAGCGTAAGCATATTGCGCGATCGAGCCACAAAAGCCCGACCGCGCAACCTAACTAAATTCGGAGAAGAAGTCAGCAAGTTCTCGACCCGATTACGCATAGCCTCGATCGAGTACCGAGAAACCTCGATCGAGTACCGAGAACGCTGACGCTTCGATCATCGGGTTTAAAACCGGAGGAAAGCCCGAGATCGGGGCACTTGTCAATCACGCGTCATTCGATACTATACGTTTACGCGCTAAGCATTTGTCCGTCAGGCCTTCGGCCTGCCGTGAACCATCAGTGTAACACTCAGCTGAATAAAGTCACATAGTGATAGTTAAACGGTGCCTCTTTGAAGTGACCTCCGACCAGCCACATCCCATCAAAGAACCCTTCGGTTCTCGTCAGAGAACACCTCTGGAGCGAGCAAGAAGGAATATACACCGCGCACGGAGCGGCGCGGCAACATAATGAATATTTGCTTTTATCGTTTTTCTGAAAATTAAAATTTATGTAATTCATATATGTTGCAGCAATTTAAAAAAATATAGTAAAAGTACTTGAATCCAGGTAAACTAATCAACAAAATCAAAGAAAATGGAAAGTTTGAGTTGTGCAACTGTTTGGGTTAGTGTCGCTTCATCCGCCTGGACAAAGCCCTATCCGGATTTGGAATTATCGGAACGCCTCGAGCGTTTGGTACGCGCATAAGTCTCATAACCCAATCAGAAATGATTCATCGAAATGATATCGGTTGAATGTCGTTCATATCGAAAAGATGTCGATTCGAAAGCGTCGAAATTTTAAATTTTGTGAACAACATAAAAGTGCGTTTATGGAAAATTTATTGGAAGTTTTATGCAATTTTTGATATTTTAGGTAAATATATTTTATATATAATTTGATATTCTTTTATTTTCTATTCAGGGATCGAAACGATATCGTTTTGATGTCGTTTCGACATCATTATAATGTAGGAGAAAGAAAATGTTGGAACGACATCGAAACGATGTCGATTCAGAAAAGCATCTGATTGGTTAAATATTGTGCACGTGATCCATACATATATGCGCATGCACATAACCTAGTATGCGCGCGCCTACGGTGATACGTCTTCCCAGCTTCAGCTTGTCTTTGTTTTACTCATTGTCAGTGAAAACTATAGGAAAAGAAATTTACTTTTCTGATAAAATATTCTAACCAGGATTTTGTCACATTATATGTTAGTGTGTGGCATAGTGATTAACTGTTGTTATATATAACAAGCAATTATAACAAAGTCATTTATTAGAACACAATGGAAGAAAATCCGGTAAGTTTTGTAAATTACTATTTTTAGGTTAGGCTATTATTTTTAGTCATAATGCTATATAATGTTATATCTATTAGTACTTCTTAATGAAGTGTTATTAATTCATTTGTTATAATTTGTCACTATTTAAGAATGTTTCTAAGTGTATGAAGAGAAAATTGCGTAGAAGAGCTGCAAAAGCTGTCATGATAAAACTTAAAGCCGATGAATTGCAAATGAAAATCGATAAGGTATATGTACAATCTTCGGATAATAGTTCAGAGGTATCATCAAATATTGAAGAAAATTCAGTGTTGTCAGATGTTGCTGACGATGAATGCTATTGTGATGTTCCTGAAGAAAGTAATAATAGTGATACGACATCTGTACAAGTTGAACAGGTTGCTGAACATATTGTGTCTGATTCACAGAGTAAATTGAGTGAGAGTCCACAGTCTGATAGAAGTGAAGTCGAAAATGAGAATGCGATGGTTTTTAGAAATGTTGCTCATATAGAACAATTTGTTATTGAATCACTTCGAGCATGGACTTCTGAATCAGGTGTCCTTTCTATGTTAAAAGTCGATAATTTGTTGAAACGTCTCAGTGTTGGTTTTCCTAATATGCCTAAAAGTTACAAAACACTTTTGAAAAGTAATATTAATCCAGAAATAAATATCTGTCAAAATGGAGAGGAATTATGGTACAAAGGTGTTAGAGCTAATTTGGATCAGATGTTATTACAAGATTATTTGCAAATTCATAGAAAGATTATAATAGATATTAATATTGATGGTTTGCCGCTTTTTAAAAGTTCCAAACTTAAATTTTGGCCAATTTTAGGGCATCTTGTTGGGACTCTAAATGAACCTTTTATTATTGCCATTTACTGTGGAAAAAATGATCCTCAGAATATTGAAGAATATTTAGAAAAATATGTAACTGAATTAGAAGATTTATTTCATAATGGCTATAAATATGAAGGCAACAATTATGAAGTTATAATTAGAAATTATATTTTAGACGCTCCTGCAAGAGCATTTATTAAATGTTGTAAGGGACATTCAGGTTACGCAGCTTGTGAGAAGTGCACCGTCATTGGAGAATACAATAACCACAGGATTACTTTCATAGACCTTAATCAACCCCTCCGTACAGATGAATCTTTCAAAAATCGCCAGCAACCTCAACATCACGAAGGGACATCACCACTCAGTGTTGGGCACAATTAAATCATACTCACAATTAACAATTTACAATTAAAATTTCAATTGTTAATTGCGTTTGACAATTAAATTAGTTAATTGCGAGTATGTATTTATTTTCACAATTACAATTAATTAATTGTTAATTGTCCTTACAATTAAAACTAATTATTTAATTGTTTAGTAATTTTAATTGTCAATGCAATTAACAATTGATTTTTATCGTGATGAAGATTTAATATGATATTTATTTAAATACATTATATTGATTCCCCTCGGGGTTACAAGGCGTTTTTGAAGGAACGTACCCAAACCTCTTATAACACCTCTCTCTATTTCCACTTCGCTATGTGGCGATCGAACGAAAACCAACAATGTTTTGTTCGGTTTTGAACCCGGGTCTTCGGATTACCAGAACAGCGCACAATCATCTGCGCCACGAG